CCTACCCATCAACATTGGTGTTCCTCAGGGCAGCATACTTGGCCCTCTCCTCTTTCTCATCTACATTAATGACTTTCCAAATGCCTCCCAACACCTCAAACCAATTCTATTTGCTGACGACACAACCTTCATTTACTCCAGTCCTGACCCCTTTGCTCTAAATGCCACAGTAAATACTGAGCTAGAGAAAGTCCATCTTTGGCTAACTGCCAACAAACTCACCCTTAACATTGACAAAACGTTTTATATTCTGTTTGGCAATAAATCCTCTAATCAGATAAATCTCAAAATAAACAATACCCAAATTTGTAACAAATTAGACGGCAAATTCCTTGGCGTTCTCATCGACCACAAGCTGAATTTCCAGGGACACATTCTAAATATATAAAAAAAGTTTCAAAAACTGTTGGCATTCTTTCTAAGATTAGATATTATGTACCCCGCCCTGCCCTGGTTACTCTCTATTACTCCCTCATCTATCCATACCTCAACTATGGTATTTGTGCTTGGGGTTCTACTACCCAAAATCATTTACGTCCTCTAATTACCCAACACAAAGCTGCTATTAGGACAATATCCAACTCTGGCCCCAGACATCACTCGGTACCCTTACTCAAATCTCTGAATATGTTAGATATTAAGTCACTGCACATTCTCTCTTGTGTATTATACATACATAAAACGCTGAACTGTAATGCCAATCCTGACCTCAAAAGCTTCATTGAAGGTTGTAACAGAACCCATGAGCACCACACCAGAAATAAATACAGTTTTGATATTCCTAGAGTACGACTTGATCAAACTAGAAATGCTCTACAAATCAAGGGACCCAGAATGTGGAATGACCTTCCCAACCATGTTAAAGACTGTACCTCTCTCAACCAGTTTAAGATAAAAACTAAACACTACCTAATAAATTCCCTGTAACCTACCACACTCCTCTATTGTCAACCCATGTCTGTTATTTTTTTAATCAACACTGTTTGTCAACCTATTGTATTTTTGTATTTGTGCTGCTTTTTCAGTCATGTTCCCCCTTTTTTTTTTTTTTTATCTTTATTTGTATTTGTTCTCAACACTTTTTATTCTTTATGCTCAATTAGTATTAAGTTCTAGATATTAATGTTTTTCTTGCCCGAAACGCATTGCGTAATAGTGGCTTTAGGCATTGTATGTACTAGCTCTATCTATATATCAATCCATTAATGTAACATCACTTGTATGTATGTACCTTACCTGAATAAACATATTTATTTATTTATTTATTTTAACTGAGAACAGGAGATGCATTTTCAGCCATAGGGTTATAAACCCATGGAACCACATACCCGCCAAAATCCTAAATGCCAAAACTGTATAAAGTTTTAAAATCTACCTGGATAAGATCAAGGCCAATGGGGGGACCTTCGAGAAGCTGCCGGCTTCCTGTCTCTGTTGAAGCCACTAAGCTTAGTGGCCCCTCAGGTAAATCAGGTATAGTACAACCAAGACCATGGGGGTTTTCCAGAGCCTGCAAGGTTAATATTTTCTGCAGGATGCCCAGGCACTGGGAAAGCTATGCTGGTAACCCCTGTATACTTGTACAGACATCCCTGGCTACCCGAAGCCAACAGAAAGGTTCAGGGAGCAACAAGGAGAGTTAACAGCACCAAACTCTAGGTGAAACCTAATAAGGTAAAGCAGGAAAGCCCCCTCAAAGGACAAAATGACAAAAACCCCAAAAATGGACAAAAAGGAAAGTCCAAAACTCACTAGCACCCAACCGTGGAGAACAAGCAGCCAGGAAGTATTGTAGCACCAACCAGACATGTAAGCTGGAGGCCCACCACAGCACACTGGTTAGGTCATGCAAACCACTGTGCCCCACCAGCAATAAACACTCCCAACCCCAGGAAAGACAAACAGTCAATGACAACCAACTTACCCAAAAGGCAAGGGCCACCACAAGAGAGGAGACCCTCTAAGGGAGTGTTATCCCAAACACACCAGATAATATAGCCCTGACTGTGCAAGGGTAGCACTTAATAAGGAGCACACACAGAAGGAAACCCTGAGCACTTCAAGCTACAAGTACACAACTCCTGGCCTACAATGCACAAACAGGCACAAGAGAGCCACAAAGTCAAACACCATGTAATTAAAGACAGAAGATTGAGCTAGAGGGAGCTGAGAGGGTGCCCAGCACCCATCTACATATGAACTGGTGGTGGAGCAGCCTGCTGACCTGGTCTGCCACCCTCCTCCCCCCAAATGAGGGGAGGGGGGGCCAAAATAGTTCATATTAGTTTCACAAATTTTGGATCATTTGTTTACATTCTTGGGAGAGTTCTTTGGGGAGTTTTGAGGCTGAGATCTAGTTTATAACTAAGCAGTAGTCTGTTTTGCTTCGCCACTCTGAGACGGGGGCAATGGACAACCCTCAAAATCGTACAAGGTGAGAGTGGGCTCAGAAGAAGTATCCATGGTACGACCAAGCCCACCGGGTTTTCCAGGGCCCGTAGAGTAGATAAGCCCTACAGGAAGCTCAGGCACTGGGGCCAGCTAAGCCAGTAAACCCTGTCTGGAACAGGCAACTGATCACAAGTAGCAGTCGTGAAACCGAGGAGGTAACAGAAAAGGTCCACCAATACAACCGAGGCTAAGACTAATGAGAAGATAAGCAGACCTCTTGTGCAACAACAGGCAAAACCGCTGGAATGAAAACAAAAGAAACCCTCGAAATCCCAAAACTATCAAACTAGCAGCCAGAAAGAAACATCAGCCACCGCATGATAGTAATGCAGGATTCACCAGCTGCAGTACGCCCCACCAGCAAACAAACACTCCCCCCAACCCAGAACAAAATGGACAGCCCAAGGCCCCAGGCCTACCCCCAAGGTCAAGGACAACTACAAGCAAGGAAGCCCTTTAACCACCGTGCTGCGCCGAGTTTATTGTGAAATTCCCTGTGTGCATGAAATAAAGTGTTCCCAAAAAATTATTTTTTCTTCGCAAAATGATAAATTCCCTTCCCTGAACATGTCTATGTAAAAATAAGTACCAAATTCCACTTAGTTTGGCTGTGGAGACGTGGACAAGGTGCGCTGTGATGTCATCAGGGCCTTGTCGCCCGTACGTGACACACCCAGACACGGTTGCGCGGGCCATTCAAGCACCGGGTGTTACCACAAATATATTTTCAATTATTTGTTCTATGTATTTCCAATGCGGTTTTATTTGTTATCATACATGATGCATATTTGTGTCCTTTACAATATGTATACAGTAGAATGTTCATAATGTTCCATGGAACTGTGATACGTGTGTCAGTAATGTATCCACAATAAATGTTTATTGTCGCAATATTACCTGTTAAAAATTCACTAAAATTACAATATGTACAGTTTCACACACTATTTACACAGTAACACACTGTATTACACACTCAGTACTTTGGAAGCGAGCAATAATCAACTAAGTATTCCATGGTGCACAGCGAGACTTCGCTCTCGGTGCACCAGGTACGGGTAGATTTTCGCTTCCCGTTTCTTCATTCTGTGAGCTTCCAAATAACGCACTCACGTACACCCTTGGCTTTAGTACTTGTAGGTTGTATGTAGCCAAGCTTGTAAAGCATAAGGTAGCATTGAAAAGATTATAGGAAAAGATCAATTTGTAAAGTAGTCTTGAAAAGATTGCTTTGTAAGGTCCCACACAGGAAGAGATTCAGCGAGCCTCAAAGTGTCCGTCAGTCAGAAAGAGATTTAGCTTTTCATGAAAATATCTTTGGAAAACACCACCATAGAAGCCGCTAACACTGTTCATCTATGCTACTTCTATCAGATGCATCATTACTGAATGCAGAAAATGATTCATCTATGTATCTATAAAAATTGGAGATGACATGGGTGGGCAAGAGTGGCGCTCAAAGCTACAACTGGATATGCTCGCCAGTCCTCATAAGTGCCATATCACTTGCATCCGACCGTTGTGTTATGTCCTTATTGCGCCTAGCTTCATCAATATTATGACCTTTATGTTCTCCAAACAATAAGGTTTGAATTTCACCGACAGAGCGCAATCTTTCAACATCGCGTCGGACAGGTGTTTGGGAGCCAGAGGTGCGTGCGCCACCCATGGTTGCTCACTCAGGACTAACCCAGCCAGCAGCCCTAAGGCATTCTGGGAATTTTTTTCAAGATGGCTGCCTCTCACTGGAGGTCCTAAGAGTCCCTTTCATACACAACCAACCTCACACACATTTAGAATATGTACGGAAAAATCAAAGATACTTTTCTAGGTTGGCGCAGTTTCCCGCCAACCGAGAATACTCGGTTGAGAGCCAGTCCTAAGTCCTAAGTCCTCAAAAATGCCATATCACTTGCATCTGACCTTTGTGTTATGTCCTTATTGCGCCTAGCTTCATCAATATTATGACCTTTATGTTCTCCAAACAATAAGGTTAATAATAAAATAACCGAGAATACTCGGTTGGCACAGTTAACACTTTCGCGCTCTGGATGCATAACCTCCTCACTACCCTGGGTTGGTTTGGGCATTCCACGGGAGCTCGCGGTAATTCTGAAAAGTGTATACTCTTTAACTTTGTCACCTCAATTCTCGTCCTAAGATATTAAATTTGGAATCAATGTGTTCGCAATAGAATTCTCTAGAGGAGTAAATGCATATAAACTCTAAAAGCCCAGCTTACCATCCGCAGCAAAGAGAGAGAGTGCGAGCGAGTGACCCGGGAGCACTGAAGAGCTATAAAATGTGTACACTCTTTTTCACTTTGGTCACCTCAATTCTCATCCTAAGTCTTTCATTTTGGTATCAATGTGTTCGCAATAGAATTCCCAACAAGAGTATATGCATATAATGTAAAAAAATGCAGTGCACTCCACCTGCCAACAAGATGAGTCATGTAAATTGCTGACAAATGGTATAATACTTTCAAATGAATTTTATAGAAAAAATAAAGTATAAGCATTGTAGACATACTTAAAGCACAATATACACACCTATAGTCTGGGCCTGTGAGAGCGCTGCCAAGCCAAAATAAGTGAATGGTCCACTTTCAAATGTCAAGTTCTCTCTTCCTATAGTCACCTCCACATGACCTTCCAGTATTAGTACGAAGAAATCAACTGGTTTTCCCTGAAGATTAAGACACGTTTTTGAAGTATATTGACAAAAAGATTTAATTACAACTAGTATAAGAAATTATCTTTAGTATGCTAAGCTGGCAAATCCAGCAATGCTGTACATGGAATTTACCTGGAGGTCATGACCAGTAGTAGCCACAGCAGCGACAGCAAGCCAGTGACTTTTAAAAGTCTTAATAACATTGTTAATTTATTCCAGTTGTATTCTTAACCTTTACACAGTGTTTATTGTCATATGATGATACACAGGGAAAAGCGGTTATTGTCATATGATGGTTTAAACAATTAATGTTTTGGTTTTACAAGTCTGATTCTTTGAATTTTAATTCACTTGTATTTATATGACTTTACATGTATGATTTTACATGAAGTTCCTTGGCCTATACATAGACAAGAGACTCAACTTCAGCACCCACATACAACACATTACCAAAAAACAGCGTTGAATGTAATGAAACACCACTTTCTGGATGAGACATGGAAGCACCCCGGAGCTATACTGGGCTGATGTACATATATTAGACAGTGGCAACAGTCAATCAATGGAGTTCTAGGCCTACCAGGGACCAGTGCCAGAACCTGGCCCCCCCTCAGAGAGGCACGAAGAGCAATGGCCTATAGACACCTGCATGTAACTGGAAGCAGTCTATGCCTGCCATCTACCAGGTCAGGCCCCCAGAAAGATAGAAATTCCAAAACTACAGCTGGTTAAAAACTTGCAAACCAAAAGCTGAATTAACAAGTAGAACTTCCCAATCGAAAACAAGTAAACAAGCATGACGTCATCACCAGCCGCTGTGCCGCTGTCCGCGCAATTCCCCTCTCCCTGGGAGTGTGTAGGGGGGGGGGGTCCCATACCACTCCCCCCTCCCCGGCTGAATTTCCCAAATGCTAAAAAACCGTCGACCGAAGGAAGGGAGGGAGGGATGCCAGGGGGCCTCTAGGTCTCACCCAGAAAATAGCGTTTCATTATAGACAATGCTGGTTTTCAGTGGAGAGCCCCTTCGGCTCCCCAGAGCTACCTAACCAAAAATAAAGGAAATGAGGGACTTACCGGGAGGCGGCTGCCACTCGCCCCTCAACTCGAAGTCCAGACTACTGGCTGCAACCTGTGATCCAAGGCTACACACACCTGAGAAGGGCTAGGAACATGAACGAGGTACCGTGAGGCCAGGAACCTGTTCGACCTCCAAAAGTGCCATGCCCAAATGTCAGCCCAGGACATATTACCAGAACCAGCAGCCAAAGCCACAAACTTACGAATGTCGTGGGCACAGGGATAGACCACAGGCTGGCTGGACTGAATAATCTTGTAGATGATCTGAAAGACCCACGCCTTGGAACAGGAAAGAAGGGAAACTGGGTCAACCCAAAGCACGTCCCACAGCCATTGAGGCCATGGCGCACAAGTAATGGTGAAGAACCGCAACCAGACAAAAACACGATGCACCCTCTGCCAAACAAACCAAGCATCAACAACCCAAGGACCTTCCCAGAAAGCAGCAGTCTCAAACTTCGCCAGAAAAAAGGAGACGGCTGCAAACAAACAAACCAACCAACCACTAAGACCAAAAGAGCAGAACTTCCTGTGCCGGAGGAGAGCATAAAGCTTCCCGACCCAATTCCCAAAGGCCATTGCAAACAAAAAGAGAGCTTTAGAAAAACAGTCCTGAACCAAAAGGTGCCACCACAAACCGAGGAGAAGAGATAAAATAGAGCACCCAGTCTAAAGACCAGGATGGCTCAGGCGGCGCATGAGCAGGCCGGAGGTGAAACAATGCCCGAGAAAGTTTGCGGAATGGAGCAGAAGTGACATCCACCCTGAATGCAAGCAGAAGCGGCTCCGCCAGTGCCGCAAGATATGAAATGACAGTATTCAGCATAAGATGATGGTCCTGAAACAACCAAGAGAGAAAGGACAAAACATTCCGATCGGAAATCAAAGATAACCTACGAAAAGACAAAAAGTGCCGAAAGGACTGCCAGGACCCTTCATACTGTTGCCGAGACAAAACTCACAAGTGGGACACTATCAACAAAGCCACCTGATCACCATACAAGTGGTGATTAACCCATGTCAAAAAGACCAGATGCGAAGAGTGGAAGAGAAGATTGAACTAGTCACGTACTGGACTGGACCGATCTGTTGAAAGAGGAGGAGCCGCAGGAAGACCCTCGGGTTTGGACACCAAGCAAGTAGTGCCTGAAACCAGGGCTGGGCCACCACCAAAGGGCCAACAGGACTACCCTCCCCTGGTAAGTCTCCAAGCAAACCAAGACTTGGAGCAACAACCAAACCTGTGGGAAGAGGTATAGGTAACTCCACCTCAACCAGTCCAGGTGAAAGACATCGACCCCGAGAGCCTCACAGTCAGGGAAGCACCACATATACCGGAAGAGGCCTTGACCAAGCTGACGCGAAGAAGTCCTTGTCCGGGCGCCCAAACTTCCGGCAGAACCAACGGAACGAGTCGCGTTGACCATCCATTCCGTGGACAGACAGACGAGGCATCCATAAACACATCGAGCGAGGGCTTGGGTAGGTGCCATGGCACAGAACCCCGATAAACCCAAAGAGGAAGCCGGCGAGGCAGCAGCCAACGCAAGGGCCCCCGGGGTCCGAACCCAGAGATCGTGAATGGCAGAAGGTATGGGCCCAAAGGAACCAGAACAGTCGTCTAACCCAGATCCGAGCCGATGGGTAGACCAGCACAGCAAAGTTCAGACTCCCGCACAGCTGCTCGAACAACCGACTCATGACCCACGTGCCCTCCAAAACCAGCCGAAGGCGGGCCTGCAGCCGCAGCAATGCCGCGGGAGGGAGAGACAAGGAAGAGATCTGAGAGGCCCACACAAGACTCAGCCAAGTCCGAACCTAAGAGGGAAACCAAATGAGACTTCCTCCAATTCACCAAGAACCCAAATCCAGCAAGCTGAGAAAGAACCAAATCCCTGGCGAACAGACACACGGACTGGCTGGGAGCCCAGACCAGCCAGTCGTCAAGGGAAGCCAGAACCCAAACCCCTAACAGACACAAACGGGTCATCATGACCCGGGTAATGCTTGTAAACACACGAGGTGCCAGATTTAAGCCGAAAGGAAAGTAACAAAAACTGTAAGCCTGTCGCCTCACAACAAAACCGAGGCAGTCCTTAACACCCAAGCTGTTCTGGGCTATTTGGCCTTTATAACCCACAGGTGCATCATAAAAAAAAAAGCGTTGAATGTAATGAAATGCCATTTTCTGGGTGAGACCCGGAGGCTCCCCGGAGCTATCCAGGCTGATATGCTAATGTCAGACTTTGGCATCAGTCATGTGTATGGAGTTCTGTGGGCCTACCAGGGATGACGAGCCAGAACCTGGCTCCCCTTCAGAAGAGGCACAAGAAGCAATGGCCTATAAAATCCCCCATGTGGTTGGAAGCATTCTATGCAGACCGGGAGTCACAATAACATGGCTGAAATATGTTGACCAAAGCACACACTAGAAAGTGAAGGAACAATGTCATTTCGGTACGTACTGGACAATTCTCAAGTTGATTTTTCTTTCTGGGTGCCATCGACCAGGTCAGGCACCCAGAAAAGAGAGCGTCCCAAAACAAACTCCTATTCTGGTGAAAGTTTCGATGAAAAGCAGAACAAGTGGATAGAACTCCCCAAACAGAAACGGGCAAACGAGTATGACGTCAAAAGTCGCCGCGCCGCTGTCTGCACAGCTCCCCGTGCCAGCAATCCACTTCTCAGTTCTGAGGCTGGACATCAAAACATGCGAAAAACCGCCAACCAGGGGGGGGGGAGAGGGAGGGTTGCCAGGGAGCCTTCGGGTCTCACCCAGAAAATGGTGTTTCATTACATTCGACGCTGGTTTTCTGCGGAGAGCCCTGTCAGCTTCCCGGAGCTACCTACCCAAAGACGAAAACAAGAGGGACCTAACCCGGGAGGCGGAAGTCGCACAGCCCCCAAACGCGAAGCGGAGACAAAACTGTAACTGCCAACCCAAGGCACACAGGCCCAACAAGGCCCAGGAACATCAACGAAGGAATGCAGAGCCAACCAACGAACTACTTGGGCACGGGGACAGACAGCAAGCTGGCAGGACTGAACCATCCTGCGGATCACCTGAGAAAACCACACCCTGGAACAGGGAAGAAGGGAACCTGGAACAACCTAAAGCGTGACCTCCAGTCACAGCAGCTGTGGCACACCAAGCACGGCGAAGTGCCGCAACCGAACAACATACGATGCACCCCCAGCCAGAATGCAAGCATCAAACAGCCCAAGAACCCCTCCGAAAAGCAGCCGTGCCAGTCTTCGCCAAAAAAGGAGACGGCTGCAAGCGAACAAACCTAGGAGAACCAAAAGAGCCAAAACCCAAGGGCCGGTGGAGGGCATGAAGCACTCTCACCTGACCCCCAGAGCAACGCCAACGAGAAAAGAGCCTAGAAAAACAACTCGGAACCGAAGGAGCCACAACAAACCGGGGAGAAGAGAAAAGAGCTTGCAATCCAAGAATCAGGACGGCTCAAGTGGCGCAAGAGCAGGCAGGAGGTGAATCACACCAGAGACGGCTCGCAAAGCGGTGCAGAGGCAGCTCCAAAACCGATGCAACCCGGAGCGGCTCCACCAGAGCCACAAGACAAGGCAACAGTATGTGGCAAGATGATGGTCCTGAACCTCCACAAGAGAAGGCAAGACCACGTCAAGAAAACGTAGCAAACCGACGAAGGGACAGAAAGAAAAAGGAAGGACCGAAAAAACACACACACACACACACACACACTAACATTTTACACACACACATTTTTAAAACTATACGAGGAAGGCACACAAACATTCATACCAAAACAGAGATGCAGGGCCAGAAAACAGGATTGGTTCGACAGAAATTGTGAGAGGGCAAGAGACCAAAAGACACAAAAATGGAATCAGTATAGGAAGAGGCCAAACCCCCAAACATACCAGCGATACAAAGATGCGAGAAACAACTATAC